TCCATCTCCTTCTCTCTCTCTCTCTCTCTCTCTCTCTCTCTCTCTTACATTAAAATTACTTTCAGTTATCTATTGAAGTCATTTTCATACAGACAGGCATTCAATTCCCTCCATCACCTAAAAACTCCTCTTCCTCCTATTTTCTACACTTTCTGAATTGGCCTATCCTTAAACCTTATGATGGAGTTTCTCATTAGTCGGCTTCTACTTATGAAGATAATACATACAAACTGAAGAAACACCATGCCAAACAAGAAGTGCAGGGCAACTTCTTCTCCCACCCGGTCATTGAAGACTGGAATAAACTTCCTTCTTCAGTTGTTCTTGCTGAAAGCGCTGATGCATTTAAAAGAAGACTCGACCTTTATTTACTTGCTGGTCATACATTTGGTAGACAACAGCGATATATATTGTGTACATATATGGCTTTGAAACAGATGGATGATCTGACAGCATCTATCTGTAAATAAAGTTTTCAAAGGTTCTGCCTATCTCCCTTATATATACTGAATTATCTACCCCATCCAAGTTATCATCCTGTCCCACTAATTCCCTCTCATACAATTTATCCCCTTAGCCTCTCATCTTCTCCTCGCCCTGCATGCATTCATCCCACCTCCAAGCCTCTTTTTTAAATACTGCTGGGCTTAACTTGCGTCTTTTGGATACGCTAACTATTGGTTCAGTCAACACGAGAGACGTGGATAATAAGATAACAGAACTTAGATGTGTAGGTTTTGGGCTTGATCCATATGCTCTTTGCATTACCGAATCTTGGTCGCTCTCTGATCACGTTTCCTAATGACTTCCTACCTTTGTGTATGAATTTCCTTCGAGACTTTTGGACAAGTGCTCACGTATTAACTCATCATTGTGTTCGCGTCACCCACCCGCTTTTGACGATTTCCTCTACCAACTTCAGCGGGCTGAGGGCAAACACAGTTACTCACGCTGGATTATAGTAAGTGTAGACTCGCGGATAGCCCTCACTCTCGTATCACTCCCACACCTGCACCCCTTGTCAAGACAAGGTCAAGGAGCCCGATGATGGGAGGGGGGGCACAAGCGGCTGGTACGGCAGCCACTCCAATGTGCGCCACAACAACACATCTTGCGTGAGGGAACTATAAAGGCCACATCACAAAGGAGCTATTGCATCCTGACCCTCAGTCCACCAGGCAGCCACTTCTTATGACAAAACACAAACTGGACCTATAGGTGTTAAGGTGTGCGATCGGAGTTATCCCATAAATTGGCGACCCCCGCGCCAAGGCTTTTAGCGCACCGTGATAGCTTCAAGCACATCAGTGTTGCGTTGACTATCGACCTCACTCTCTCCCCTATCTAGCAAACCGGCCGTCTGAAGTATGATGGGCGTATCGGCCGAAAGTACGGCAAAAATCGTCTATGCGCTCTACAGCATGACCTGGCTCTCTTGAAGCACGCCAGAATTTAAAAAGTCAGAAGATTAGAAAGAGCCATCGCCTTGTGAGTCACAGTCCACTCATCACCAGGTAAATGCGTCAGTTGGCAGTGGTAGAAAGCAAACAAAGGGAAGATGAATGTTGTAAAGCATGTTGTGAAGGAGAAGCAGGTGAAGGAAAAAGAAGAGAGAAAACGAGACGCAACTTACCTTCTGGTTGAGGTTCTTTTGGGAATGCTAAAAGCCTTCGGTGGAGGTGTTTGTGTCGCTGGCAAAAGCTAAGCTAAAATTGCAACTGTTGCAATTATAACTTCGGCTGGCGGTACTAGAAGTGCTAACACCAATAAGATCAATAGCACTAAAAATTACAGCAAGTAGCAAGTGGCAAGACTTATATTGCCAAGACTGAGCTTAGACTAGGTTACTGCTGATATGGATAATATTCCAATACTATTGGTGCCAATACTAGTAATGATGTCGCGAGTGTGTGTCGTCAAGTAGAAAGTTCCGCCAAATCAAGAGTCAGGGAAGGCGGTGTTGGTAGAAAGAGCTTCACTGCAGGCAAATAGACGATGAAATGTTTGTGTTATGAGCCAGTCGCCAGCTGCGTCTGCACGCCAGGTGTATCCGCAAAGTTGTGTGAGTATTGAAGCTTTGGCTGCGGGATGATTGCTCGATTGGCCGCCTCCGATCAGATGAAGTGGAATTATCGATTAGCTTTGAGCGTACGCGCAGTGAGTTGACAGCGAGCCTGTGAAAGGACAATAGCGCGCAGCGAGCGAGGCTTGGCAAACGAAAGCAGCATGAGTCAGTGCAATTGCGCTGAACGGCAAACTCCGACAATCATACTTAGCAGTAACAGTACATAAGACATCGTAATACAAGCACAATAATATAGACTATTAGCAGGCAAAGTCAACGAAACAGTATCTGACTTACCAGGGGTGAGCCTGTTACCGTGAGGTCACCTTCAAGCTTGAAGTCTGACCCTTGTCTCAGAAATGGCGAGGCGATGATCGGCCACCCGGGTAGCGGCTGTCAGCGGGAGTGTATGTGGCTGATCACCAACATGTGTAGGCGGCTTTCGATAGGTGTGTTGATAGCACATTGTATGTAATGTGAATTTATGTTGACGAAACTGTGGGTGATACGGGTGCCAATGAGGAACGGCATAACGATGTGGTGTAGCCAACGGTACTTTACCGCAGGTTTTCGTTAATGCCCCTGTGGCCAAATAGACACATGCGATAGGTGAATGCACGTGGGCAGTGCTGAAAGTGAAGGCGAGTGCGTTGCGACTGTATGTGCAGACCCCAGGCACTAGTTCCCAGTCTCTGTGCGATGGATTCGCAAGTGATCGACCAGGCTGATGCATGAGGTGAATGTGTGATTGCAGTGATGGCAAATTAGACTCCAGCCCCCAGTGCTGGTGGTGATGAGGGTGGCGGCAGACGGTGATGCGTTGGAAGGGGTGTGATGTCCGTGGTGGTTGGTGCTGGGGACAGTGAGGGGATCGCAGGAGAGAGCATGGTGTTGGCGGGTGAGGGCAGCGGGGCATCGGGTAGTTGAGTTTTCGTGGTGAAGGTGGTCGTCAAAGAAGTAATGAAAACCGGAGGAACTGTCGAAGTGGATGCCGTTGGGGGGATGGTGCACTGTGTCCAGAGATCACCGATAAAGCCGATATGTGCACGGAAGATGCCTTGACAGTGCTGGTAGGTTGGAAGGGCTTAGGCATTGACGGCGTTCGTCCCTAGGGTTTTGGAGTTGTGAGCCGCCCTTTTTTGTCATGGCGGCGGAGATCCGACCGGTTCCGCAGGTAGTTGCACTAGCTTTTACCATTCTTCCTCCTAGGTCGCCGCATTGATTTGTAACTCTTCAGAGTTTCCTTGTAGTGCCGTAAAACAGTCGCTTTGGTCGTTGGTCGTCCACCCTTATCAGGTGGCCGCTTCAGAACAGTTGTATCTGATTCAGTATGACCTACATGCTAAGAATTCCCGTTTACTCCAGGACTTCTGCGTCCTGTATCTTGTCCTGCCATCGCAAATTCAGTATTTGGCAGAGACAACGGAGATGGAATCTGTTCAGGTTCCGAGCTTGGCTGGCGTAGATGGTCCAATTCTCCGCTCCGTATAAGAGTGTCATGAGGATGACGGGTTTGATCGTCTTCACTTTCATGGACAGCTGGAGACCATGACGATTCTATACGGAGGCTTGAAGCCAGCCGGGGCCAGGGTTAGCTGTTGAGATCAGGCGAGCAACATCGTCGCCGATTCATGTGTTGCCGGATAACGTGCTGTTGAGATAGGCAAAGTTGTCCACGTTTTTGAGCTCGGCACCGTTGAAGTTCACACGTGGAGCATTGTAGTCAACACCCGGGGGCGGTTGATGCATGAGCACCGTTTTATCCGTGTTCGTGGTGAGACCGAATTCGGCGTGACCTGCAGCGAAGAGGTCCATACTCTTTCACATGTCCGCTTCGGTTTTGGTGTTGAGAGCGCAGTTTTCTGCGAACAGCAGACCATGAACTGTGGTCGTAAGTGCCTGTATGCGTCGGATGTTGAGACGGTGACCGTCCCGGGTGCTCTTCACAGTAGGCATTCATCAGCATGGCAGAGAACATGAGGCTGAAGAGAGACGGCGCGAGGCCACAGCCCCACTTCACTTCATTGGTCACAGCAAAGGCTTCGGGAATGATCCCGTTGTCCGTGATGCACGCCACCATCTCGGCGTGGAGCTGACGTACCATGTGGGTGAAGTGCTCAGGATAGCCGAATTCATGCATGAGTTTCCACTGTCCAACGCGATTTCCTGTGCCGGATGCTTTCGTTAGATCTACAGTGGCATTGTAAAGCTTAGAGCGCATGTCTTGGCATTTCTCCTGCAGCTGTCGTGCGACGAAAATAATGTCAGTGGTGCTGCGATGACGATGGGAAGCACACTGGTTTTTTGGTATGAATCCTTGTTTCAGGTGGTTGTTGACGCGGTTAAGAAAAACATGAGCAAAGATTATGCAGGCAAGATTGAGCAGTGAAATTCTGCGCTGTTTGTCACAGAGTCGGCGGTTCCCCTTTCGTTTATAGTGGTGGACACTTGTGGCGTCCTTGAAGTCCTGTCGGCACATCCCCTGCAAGAGCGTAGTTAGGTGGAACGTATGTTGCTGGTCGCCGTATTTGTATATCTCCGCAGGGGTGGCATCACATCCGGATGCTTTCCCATTGGAAAGTTGCTGCACAGCGTTGATGGTTTCCTCAGGGATGGGTGGGAGTTCGAGGTCAGCGTTTATTTTCACCTGGATAAGGCAGCGGATGGCGGCATGGGAGATGATAGAGGAATAGTTGAGTACGCTTTGATGTTGCTCAGCCCAGCGTTTCAGAATTTGTGTTGTCTCAGTGAGTAGGGAAGTTGGATCAGCACTGAGTAGAGGGGCTTTTCATTTGACTGCTGGACCGTATACAACCTTGATCACAGCAAAGAAGTTTCCCCATTTATTGCGGTTCGCGTATCCTTGGATTTCCTAGCTGTTGCGAGCCATCCAAGCATCCTGCGTTTCCCGCAGCCGCTGTTGCACAAGACGGTGACTTTGTTAGAAGGCTGCTTTTGTGACGTAGGTAGGGCATTCAACGGAGATTTTGTGCAGGTTGTTCTTCTTGGCGAGCAGATTGTTGATGACTGCATCATTTTCCTCAAACCAGTCCCGGTGTTGACGATGTGCGCGGCCAAGGACACGTTAGGCGGTAGAAAGGACAGTATCCCATTGTCGGCACCATCGGTTCTCCGCGGAGGCTTTCTTTTCTGCGCAAGGGAAGATTGTCTAGCCGTTGAGCCAGCTCGTTGTCGAAATGCAAATGGTTAGTAGGCACATTTAACAAAGCAGTATTCACCTCTCAAAGGGGTCGCTTACTTTCAGGTCTCCTGTGCGTTTGAAGGTGGATCTTCGTCTTGGAGATGACGAGACGATGGATAACCCAACCGTCGGCACCTGACATCGCCTTCGTCACCAGCACGTCCTGCTGATCAGACCCTCGGATGAGGACCTAGTAAAGCAGATGCCACTTCCGGGGCCACGGATGCATCCCAGTCGCTGTGTGCTGCGGGGGAAGGTGAAAGTAGGTGTTGGTCAGAATGAGATGGGGCTCTGCGCGGGTCTATAGGAGGAGCGAGCCGTTGTCATTGAGTCCATGGAGGCCTTGGAGACCCAGCACTCTTCTCCAGGTAGCGTGGTTTGTGCCGACGCGAGCGTTGAAATTGCTAAGGACAATCAACGCTAGGCTTTCCATGTGGGGTCTTCGAAAGGACTTTACGCATCATGACCACCTACTTACAAGTATTAAGTAGGTTGAATTACCCACAATCTTCCAGTTTTCTATACGCCGGCCCTCTACCCAGTTGGGATTGAATGATGGCATTGTACTACAGAAGGATTCTCCGGAGGTCACCGCATACCATAACCGCTTAAGTCAGTATATTAAGCAAAATGGTGTTTCAAATTAACTACCGGAATAATCGTTTACTTACAAATTTTAAGTAGAGTGAATTCCACAATCTTCAACCTTTACTCGTTCGCTCTCAATTCTAGTTGGGGTTAATGGTTCTACTAGAAAGTGCACCCCCATGACCTCGTCCGAGGTTAGGGCGCACGCCCCCGGCATACACGCGCTCGCCGTTGGTCGGGCGGGGGGTTGGCGATGATATTAAAGCCTACTTCAGTGTCCTCGCCCGAGGTTTGAGTATGTGCCCCAACTTGTCCTCGTAACATTTTTATTTTGGAATGAATATTGCGATCTAATTTGTTCTTTGACATGCCCCGCAGGTCCTCTCCCCTAAAATCAGGTGCCCGTGAGCCTGAGGGGCGCGCTTCACAC